AGGGATCCCCCAATGGCCGTTCCATCTCCCCCTGGATCTTTCCTCCCTGCCGCCCTGCCGCCTTGTTGCCCTGCCGCGCTGCTGCCTGCCTGTCTGCAAGCAGCGATGTTATCAGTGAGGGAGACAACCAGGCCCCTAGATTCGTTTTGAGGTAGTCTGACGCCTCAGAGTACACCCCTCCTGGAACTCTGTCTGTCAGAGGTGCCTCAAAATTTTAGTCTGAAAAATCAGACAAGCACAACTTTTTTTGTCTGAACTGTTAGATTTACCCTCAAATTTTAAGATGATGATGCAGTATCGTAAAAGCTTATTTATAATAGCATTGAAGCTGATTACAACATACCGACTCAACTGTGCGGTACGAACCAGTCAGGGTCGGCGGGTTTGCATCAGGCAACGTGCTCATGCATCGCCTTGGTTGGTTTGTCACGTGCAGCATATGGGTTGTTTCTGCTGATTAGATTTCGTTTCGTCGTGTGTCTGATTACCGTTCTGTACCCATTTTCTCACCTGTGTGCCGATTTTGTCAATGTTGGATTTGCGTTTCAAGCGATGTGATCATTCACCCGATCTGGTTGTTGTCACGTACAGTGCCAGGTGGGCCAAGTGCCACGCAGCTGAGCTGGCAGCAGGCAGAAACTGTTGGTTGGCGTGGCATGTGTGAGCATCTGGCAGTGCCGCACGAAACTTTCACTACGAATCAGGAGCTTCACAATTTCACAGCAGTGCATGCTGCAGACTTTTTAACAAAGAATCAACATCAAAATCGCCAATTCTTTAAAATACATTAGTGATAACTTACATGTGACGAGATTTTGCCTACAAAATCTCGTAATCACGCAACCATTTTCTTAGTGTAACTGGGAGATATTCTCAACGAACGAGTGTATTCGCATGTCCCAGCTGTTGAAGCGTGCGTTGCTCACGTCCTGGCACTCCACTGCCATCTCGGAAGTGGGCATATCGAAACGAAACTTCACGGAAACTTTGTTTCGATAAGCTCGCAGAGTGCACCCCCGACACAAGTATGAGGCTCAGCCTACACCCCTAAAAATTGGCTGAAATTTCAGCAGTTACAATAAAAAAAACTCTGAAAAATCAGAGAAGGTACATAAAAAAAAACTTACAGTTCAGACCAACTACCAAAAAAAAGTCTGAATGGACGCTGAATCAGCGTAAAAAGTCTGATATCTAGGGCACTGGAGACAACCCCCAGCAGCTCATCATCCTCCCTTGTGACCCACACGCGGTGCATGCGGTTGGTCACTGCCAGCGCCATCACCCCCACTCATGCCTTCTCCTCCCACCAACCTCTAGTGCCCCCCCGCCCTTCCATCGCCGCTGCCGTCCATTCCCCTGTCCAATCCAGCCATCCTATTCCATTCCCTGTATCTGGCTCCTATCTAGCACTCTCCACCTGTCTACCGCTGCCCACCTGCCCGTCTGCAAGCCGATATGACATCAGTCAACAACACCACCCCCAGCAGCTCGTCGTCCTCCCCGGTGACCCGCACGCGGTGCACGCGGTTGATGGCTGCCAGCGCCATCACCTCTGCCGGTGGGGCAGACGTGAGGCACGTGATGGACTGGCGCCGACCCTCGGGGGACAGTGATGCCATGTGAGCCAAAAAGTCCCGCACCTGTGGGGGACGGGGGATGGCAGTGCGGGGGAAAGTGGGAACAGCAGAGGAGATGTGGAGCACGTAAGGGTGGTGCTTAAAGTATCAGGCGTAAACAGTAAAAGAGTTGCCACCTTTCTCGTGTCGTGTGCACCACAGCACCGCCGACTCTCATACCTCTCCCCTCACCCACCTTGCACCACCCATCTCCCACCCTTCATGTATGCGAGCCAACCCTTCCCATCCATGCCTCCCCAGCCAACACCCACAATCAACACAATGCACAGGTGGCACGCACCCCGCATCTGACCATACACTTGACAGCAGCACACGTGCGTGAAGCATCCCTTACCTTTATGGATGTGAGCTGTGCTAGTGTCTCCGCTTCTATGCCAGCCACAACTCAACAACCCTGCTTCCCCCCTCTCCCTCCCCCAAACCCCTCTCCTCCCCTTCCTCCTCCTGCCTAAGTTGCAATATACGCTAAGGGGCTTTAGCGTTCAGCGTTTGAACGCTAGCGTGCACACGCAATACGCGAAACGCTAGCAAATACGCTATACGCAACCCTACTTTTTTTTGGGGCAGCCCGCCCGACCCAAAATTTTTCGAACACACCAAAAGATGCGGAATGGCACGGCGAGTAATTCTGTGACGTCAGATTGCACGTCCGAGGTCTAGGGTTGCGGGAAATTGGATTCATGTCTTGGTGTCGCGATTTCACCTTCACATGTTGCACGTTCACACATTGATGGTCACGTACATCGAGTCGCGTGTGCACGTTTGAACATTTCTATCCCAACACGTTACCGCATTCAAACCCACAACACTCATTCAGTCGAACCATTCCGACTCAATCTCCCGCCACTCGTCTTGCTATTTATCAACTCATCAAAACGTCTATCTCATTCAGTAATCCTCTCCCGCTACCAACAACTAGCCTCATTGCGATGACATCCAGCAGTCCGCCTCTCACGTCGCCTTCCGAACAGTCAGTGGAGAGTTCCATCCCTCGTCCAGAAGGGACCAGGGAGTACCTTCCCGATGTAGTCCACGACGTCTTCAAGCACTTCAGTATCATCAGGCACGAAGGGGGCAAGGCACAGCAGTACGAGTGCAAGTACTGCTTCAAGGTCTTTTCAGGTGCCGCCATCCGATGCGCTCAGCACCTTAGCTCATGGAAGAAGATGAAGCGCCGCGAGGTGACGCTTTGCGGGAAGGCACCTGCTGATGTTCGCCTCGAGATTCGCAAGAAGTACGAGGCGCAGGCTGCTGTGAAAGAAGAGAAACAGCGAGCGGTGTTGGCTGCTATAGCGTCGGTCAAAGCCGGTGGCAAACGGGCCCGCATGACCGACTACCTCGAGGGTGACGCTGCTGCGGCAAAACGTGAAGCACATGAAGGTCTTGCGCTCATGATTGCCGTATGTCGCCTCCCGGAGAACCTCATCGAACATCCGCTCTTCGTCTACTCTATGCACCTGGTCGCCCGCGCCGGGAAGGGCTACGTTCCGCCACGTCGCACCTACATCGGAGGTGCCGGACTGCTCGCTTGCCGCAAGGGTATTGACGCCGGCTTGATGGGGATCAAGGCTAGCTGGAAGAAGACGGGTGTTACCATCGCGTCCGACATGATGACGGACAAGTGTGGCAGGCCGCAGGCGAATGTCCTCCTCGTCAACGACGCGGGCGCTGTCCTGAAGGAGTGTGTGGACTGCAACATGGAGAAGAAAACAGGGGGGTACATCGCGGGGATACTGAAACCCGTCGTGGAGGAAGTCGGACCCGAGAACGTCGTCGCGTTCTGTATGGACGGGGGTTCCAACTACGCGTCGGCATGCCGGAAGCTGATCAAGATGTGGCCCCACATTCAACAGGTTCCATGTGCCACCCACGTCATGGACCTGATGATGGAGGACGTGGGGAAAATGGGGTGGGCAAAAAAGGTGGTTGACCATGGCGGTGAGATGAGCTCCTTCACCCGCAACCACCATTGGACGCGCGGTTACTTGCGGGACCGTAAGTTGGTGGAGGGGAAGGTGTTGCAGCCGTTGAAACCCGCGGGGACCCGCTTTCGGACCCAATACATCGCTATCTCCCGTCTCTGTCAGCTCCGCCCCACCCTTACGCAGATGGTCGTCAGCGACGAGTGGAAGGTGTGGGCTGCTGGATCGCGCAAGGAGGTTGCAGAGAAGTTCGCCGCGCAGGTACTCGACACGGCGTGGTGGAAAACTGCTGAGTTTTTCACCAAGCTGATGCAGCTCCCTTACAAGGCGATGCGCATGACTGACGGGGAGGCAAAAGGGATGATGGGCAGGATCTATGACGTGATGCTTCAACTCACAGAGGACGTTGAGGCTCTCGTGGACGCGGATGAGGAGCAGTTGTGCATCAGCGATAAGAAGCAGATCCGCCGCATCCTCAAAGACCGGTGGGACGAGAGCCTCGCGTGCGCCATGCATGTGGCAGGCCGCATCCTCAACCCCGCGAACCAGGAAGAGGACATATTCGGCGGCGACGCCGAATGCACGCGTGTCTTCAAGGCGTTCCTTCACCAGCATGCGGAGTTCCTCGTCGGCCACGACGGGAAGGGGGGGGATGCGGCCTGTGATTACTTGGTTGAGTTTGGGGACGGGCTGAGGGATTTCCTGGACATGAAGGGTAGTTTCGGGATGGCAGAGGCTGTGGCGCAAAGGGAGATGGTGAAGGCGGGAAAATACAGCATGGTGAAGTGGTGGCAGTGGAACGGAACAGATGCCCCTCGCCTTGCGTCCCTCGCCATCCGGATTCTCTCGCAGCCCGTCTCGGCATCACCCTGTGAGCGTGGCTGGTCATCGTGGGAGTCTGTCCACACTGCCCGTATGAACCGCTTAGGATCCGCCAAGTGTGCGGATTTGGTGTTTGTTGCGCACAACTGGAACGTTGTGCGCAACTGGCACACGCGCAAGGATGTGATGCCGAATGTTGTGTGTGGGAATGAGCCGGAGCCCCCCATCCCCGAAGGTTACAATGTGCTGGATGAGCTGGAGGAGGAGGAGGAGGAGGAGGGTGAGGAAGAGGACGCCATCTTGGAGGACGAGTATGAGTAGTGGGTAACGAAGTGGGGGGGGGGGGAGGGTGGGTATAGTAGGGAGAGAGTAGTATGACTCGTAACTGGATTTGTATGGCATGGCCAATATTATTATGGGGAAAAACAAAAAAAAACAGAAACACACCTCGCACGAAACCCCTCTGGACCCAACCCCGGGAGGGGTTTTTTACCCTGCCCGGGAAACTTTTTTCCCTGCCCAGAAATGCGTATCTTGGTTCTGACCTCTCTAGTGTTCAGCGTTCACACGCTAGCGTATATACGGAATGCGTATAGACGCCAAACGCGTTTATTGCAACCTAGCCTCCTGCCACGTCAGCAGAACCACCAGCACCACCAGACCCCTCGCCCTCCTCCATCCGCTCCTCCTCCTCCGCACTGCCCGCCACCACCGCCACTGCTCTCACACCGCCCGCGCGCTGCATTAGCCTGAGCGCATCAGTGACTGTGAGGCCCGACACTATAGCGAGGGGCGGGAAGAGCGAATCCGCGAGGCCTAGCTGCTCCACAGTGCACTCTGCCACGTCACCCAGGGCGTCCACGTGGAGCAGCAGGAAGGCTGCCACGTCAGTCTCGGAAACGAAGTGGTAGGAGTGCTTGGGGGGAGCAGATGGTGCTTCTGCTGCTGTTTCTGATCCTGTTGCTGGCCTAGCAGCATCTGCTGCTTCCGCTGTTCCTGCTTCTCCTCCTGTTGCTGCTGCTGCTGCTGCTGTTGCACCTGCTATTTCTGCTGCTCCTTCTACTGGTGTTTCCTCTGTCTCAAGTGCCTCAGGGGTGGCGTGGCCGAAGGTCATGGCAGTCGGAGCAGCAGTGGAGGGGAGGGGGTAGCAGCGGGGGCGATGGGGCAGCGCACGAGCAGGCGGTGAATGCCCTTGCTTAGCGGCTCCATGGCGTCAACTGGCAGGGGAGGGGGGGAGGAGGAGGGGCGGAGGGGGAGGGATGGGGAGGGGATGCCATGCGCGGAAGATGAGGGAAGAGAATAGCGCTGCAAGTGTGAATGCCTTGGCATGTTGGCTCGATGGCACCTATTAGACACGAAGAGGCAGCAGAGAGTTATGGCCTTGGGTACTCATAGTGTGGGGCTGGCTGGAGGCGACCGGCATGACCTTTGAGCTGACTACAACTTAAACACTGACTAAAAAAAAAAAAAAAAAACTAGAAGCTTTAAACACGGAGCTCAAACCTCAGAACTGTAACAAACGATACCCCGCAAGTGGCAACTCACGGCGTGGAGGTGGAGGCGACCCAGAGTGAGAGTCCTTCAGGCAGGTTGCCGACGAGGCTCACCACCCCTGCCTTGAGCGCTGCTGTCATTGCGCCCTCCCTCACCCTCTCTCCGCCATGCTCACCACTCCCTGATGGGGGGGGAGTGGGGAGAGAAACGAGTGAAAGGGAAGCAGGGGAAGATGAAGGTGGGGAGTCAACGACGGGTTGCCTTGTCTCTCCCTCCCTCACACATGCATTGCCATGCCATGCTCACCACTCCCTGACGGGGGTGGGGAGGGGAGAAGGGGAGGGAGGAGAGGAGGAGAAAGAGAGCGATGAGGATGAGGAGCGAGAGGGAGCATGTCACGCTCTCCCTCACCACGTGCATTGCAACGTCCACATGCTCGCCACTCTTGAGGCGCCTCAGCAGGCGACGTCCACATACTCACCATTGTCAGAATCAGCAGGCAGAAACAGAAATGAAGGAAGAGGGGTTGCACTAGCAGCAGTAGGCATACATATAGGAAACCCTAATTGGGTTGTACTCGCTATGGAGCACCCCACTGCAGGCTAGACAATGATAACATTGTGACAACCATTCCCTGGAGGAGAGGGAGAGAAAGGAGTGAACGGGAAGCAGGGGAAGATGAAGGTGGGGAGTCAACGAAGGGGAGCCTTGTCTCAACAGGCGATGTCCACACACTCACCACTCCCTGGTGGGAATTGGAGGGAGGGCAGGCGCGTTGGGAGGGAGGGGACGAGTGACAGGGAAGCGGAGGGGGGAGGTAGCACGGACAAGGTCCCTCTCTCTCTTCCCCTCGCCGCGCGCACTGCCGCGTCTGCCATGCCATGCCACCACTGCGGCCGGGCGGAAAGGAAGGGAAGCAGTGCAGTGCAACTCACACGTACACCCATCACACCATATTAACCACAGTCCTGTTAGTGTGTCTCCTTAACCAGATTTTACCGGATCACAACTGCTGCGTACTGGAGACCTCGTAGATCCAACGTGCTGTTACCAGCTCACACCGCTGTAACAATTTGCCCCATGCATTGTCACTCATTATAAGCTGCTGTCACCACCAGCTCACACTGTTACAACAATAGACCCCATCATCCTCCGTGACTCGTTATAAGCTGCTGTTACCAGCTCAAACCGGTACCAGCTGACAGTGTAACAACAAAAGACCCCATAGCCTGTGACTCCTTGCTACCTCACACCACACCACCAGCACCAGCTCGCAGCGACGCTACTAGCTCACAATGTACTCAGCTCACACTGTGACTCGTTATAATCTACGGCCATAAGCTCACAATGTACTGCTTCTCCCCGTCCACGATGTTCGCCCCGCCCGCCCCCAGCCACTTCCCCGGCGGTGCCGCCACTGGCAGCGCCACTATGCCGTTCGCATTCATCAGCTGGAGGGAAAGGAGGAGGGGGGTGACGCGGGAGGGGGAAGAGGAGGAATGGAGGAGGGGGGGGGAGAGAGGTAGAGGAACTGGGAAATGCACGGAAGAAAGGGACAGAGAGGTGCAAGGACATGGGACGCACGAGGGAAGAAGGGAATAGGGACGCGGGGCGGGACGCGGGGGAGGGAGAAGCAAGAGCGAACAGTGGTGTGCGTGTACAAATGATTCACTGAGCACATTACAAGCCCCCTCGCTATGAGCACGTCTGTACCAACCCACCGCAGTATGTCCCGTTACATCGAGAGCGTCCAGTACAGTGGCGATGTCGGGCACCGATATAATCTCCTTCTTTTTCGATACAAGCGCGCCGATCTTTGTTCGCTCAAGCAGACTCGCCATGGTACCGGAGTGTGACAAAAACGAGAAAGCATCCTGGCGGCTTGTACTAATCACTCCTGGTGTCGTCAGAACTATCGACAAAGCGATGGTGATGAATGAGCCGGCGATTAAAGCGGTAAAGAGCGAGAGGGAGCTTATGAAAGGAAAATTTACTCGCTCGTGGATTCAGGAAACTGAAAGGAAGCGCGCACACGTACGCCACTGACTTGAAGCTATCGTGCGATTGCGCAACTGTAATGCGAATGTTCTGAGCGGGTGAAAAAATAAAAAGAAAATGAAAAAAACGAATGAGAAGAGAGAATCAAATGCATGCCTGCTAAGAAGCGGACTCGCGAAAGCCGAGAAGGAAACTACGCTGGAGGAAATATGTAAGGGCGCGTGTCTTTTGCAAATCAGGCTGAAGTTCATGTTTTTTTTTCGAATTTACACATTCGATCTTTGGTCGACCTGTGGTCGACCATCTCGACTTTTCGTGGTCGAGGAGCAGCGTCAGCAATTCCGAGTCGCGCATGGAACAACAAAGTTCGAATATGAGTTCAACTTTAAACAAGAGATTACAAGTCGCGCTAGAATTCTGTATGTTACCTGGCTGTGCGGTGCAGCTCGTGACCGGATCCGAAATTGGTAACCCGATACATTTTCCCTCGTCATTGTCGTGAACCTCGCAAAATTTTGGGCGTGCGTCAAAGAACACACGATTGGAAAAAGGTAAACATTAAAATCCGAACGCTGGTGGACTTCAGTTTAGTGTCCAACTTCCCTCACACATTTGAACCAGGACACGCGATTCCCTCGCGAACGTTTTGGCGAAAATAACGAAGCGGGCTACCAGAAAGAGTTCGACCCTATTTTTGAACGTCTACACCAAAAGACACGCGCCCTAATGTTTCTCCTCTGAGCCATCAGTTGAGCGCTGATTGTAGTAGCCACAGACTGGTCCAGTCAATCCATCACCTAACACCGCTTGAAGCACGCATTCGGAGATGTTAAGGAGAACACGAGCATAACGAGGGAACATGACTGTAGGTGTATAACGAGTTACTTTTAAACCAGATCCGAAATCCCACGTAACCCTTGTTCATCATCTTTTTCGCCAACCCTTCGCTCAAACTCTCGTGCAACCCAAGCTCACATGCCTAGGCAAACCCGCGTTAGGCCCGCTGGCCTAAATCTGCTAAAGATTAGCGAGGTTGACTAAGTCGAGGATAAACGCGGCGGAAGACTTTGGCGATAGAGAGTGTTGGCGAAACAGGCGAAGAAGTAACTAAGCAATTGAAGAGTTGAATGAGAATTGATTGATATGAGGGAATACAAGCAAGGTTGATATAGCATGCAAGAACAATTGAGGGAAAGTGGGTTGTGGGACTAGAAACTAGAAGGCAAAGAAAGTAGAGTGCCACGTGGCACTAGGAAATCTAGGAAGATAAGGATAAGGGTGCGTTGGAAAGTACTGTTCGGAATGAACAGTAAATCCCCCCTTAACACTACCCCCCTCCCAAGGAGGCGACGTCCGCGGCGCCTGCAGACTGGAGGTAGGCTTGGAGGCAAGCGTTGTCAGGAGACAGTGAGGACGAACGAACCCGGCTGTCGTATGCTGCGTCGTAACCACGCCAACAAACCAAGAAGTCGATGAAAGAGACACCCCCCTGAAGACGGCGACGGTGCCTGAGGATGCGCTGGATCTGGTAGTCGGGCTTGTCGGTGTCAACAGCTACCGGCAGTGGAGTGCGGTCACGGCCCGAGAAGGTGCCGTTGGGATCGGTGTAAGGACGAAGAAGCGACACATGGAATGACGGGTGCATGCGGAAATGAGCAGGAAGGCGGAGGTGGTATGCGTCTGGACCAAGTGCGCGCTCAATGACGAATGGACCAATGAAACGTGGACGAAGCTTGCTGTCCTGTGGCAGTCGGAGATTGCGGCTATCAAAGAGAACACGGTCGCCGACTGCGAACGACACCTCACGACGACTGCGGTTGGTGGTGCGTGCCATGCGTGCATTTGCGAGCTCAAGGTGCTACCTCACGTGATCATGGATGAATGTGAGATGCTGGTGGAAGTTGTCCGCACGAGGGACTGTGGGTGTGAGATCGACACGAGTGGGGACATTGGGGTGCTGACCGTAAAGTGCAAAGAACGGTGACATGCCTGTGGACGAGTGGTGCGTGTTGTTGTATGCGAACTCGGCCATGCTCAGCTTCTTGTCCCATGCGGCTGCGTCGTGCATCGTGATGCTGCGAAGGATCTGCTCCAAGGTCTGGTTCACACGCTCAGTCTGTCCGTCTGTCTCTGGATGGTACGCTGACGACATGGCTAAGCGAGTCCCAAACAGTGCGAAAAGCTGCTTCCAGAACTTCGAGGTGAATCTAGGGTCGCGGTCGGAAATGATGGAATCTGGAACCTCATGCAGTCGGACTACGTTATCTATGAACAGCGTCGCGGCTTCCTCTGTTGTGACCTTGCCGTGCGTGGGGATGAAGTGCGCTGCTCGAGAAAACTTATCCACTACCACGAATATGGCGTCGTGACCCCTAACTGTGCGCGGTAATGCCATGATGAAATCCATGGTAACAACCTGCCAAGGGCGGTCGGGCAGTGGAATCGGCTGCTAGAGTCCTGCTTTGCGCTGGCGAGAGGGCTTCGTACGCTGACACGTGTCGCACGAGTGAATGTAATCCCCTACGTCTGCTGCAAGCCCTGGCCAGTAGTACGTGCGACTAAGCGTCTTAGCCGTCTTATCTGCTCCGAAGTGACCTGCACTAACTATGTCGTACGCCTCTGAGAGAAGGAGCTGTCGAAGAGGGCGTCATAAACTCGTGGAAGACACCGAAGTTGCCCGGGCTCAGTACTACAGTGAGTCCCTTATGGCGTACAGCATACTACTACGCAACGTGATGCCTACGGAGCAACTCCACATTCGCTCCTATAAAGAGAGCGCCGCTCCAGCCCTGGAACCTTAGAAGCACCTCGTTGAGGTATATCAGCAAGCTCCTGCAACAACTCATGGAGACCAAGATGGGGCACGGGGAGAAAGCAAACAGTTACATTAACCGCTGTCAAAATATCCATGACCAGATTACGAAGAATGGAAGCGCTACTTCTGAGGAGATCTTCGTCAACATCATCATCCAAGGACTCGGGCCTGAGTGGAAGCTGCAAAGCGCTACTTCGACAACGAGGAAATATCTCAGAAGCCGCGCTATGTGCTGCACTCTGACGGAACAGCAGGACATGGACTCGAGCAGAACAAGCTCCGCGCCGCGCCAAGAGCGCCTCACCTTCTATTTGGAAAATCGTGAAGAGCGACGACAACCAATTCGCCATTATTGCAAAAATTGCAAAGTCTTCAGGCACTCAACGGATCGATGCAAATCCCGATCCAACCATCGCCACCCAAATTCTACTCACCAAAACAACTGGGTCAGCTTCAGCCTCAGCACCAACACCAAACTCCTCGCCCTCCTACACAGCAGCAACAACAAAAACAGACACAAAGACCTCAATCATTAGCTCCCACAAACATGATCGCGAACATGGCGACAAGGCTTCGGCCACGCGCTGCTGAGCCAGATGAAGAGGAAGAACCTCGAGGTGGGCTCATTCAACCAGAAAGGGGGGTGGAACAATCCCCTCATGGAAGACCACTACCAAGAGCAAGATTGGCATTAGCCAATAATTTTACGGGAAAGACCGCCCCACGACAATCAGCAGTTTGTGCCTGTGGGATGGAAGGAGAATGAAGATCCCACCTTTCACAGGAGATACAAGGCAACTTTGGTGACTCCGCGGCTCGCACTACTTTTGCGCAACAACAACGAAAACTACAACACCTAGTACCTGGACAACTGCTGTGTTCAACACATGGTGGGATCTGTATGCTACGTCTCTAACATCAGCCGCGCCCCCTCCACCTACGCCACCGTCGCCAACAACGAGCAACTGCGTGCCAACGCACAAGGCATCGTGGAGCTGCAAGCACGAGATAGCAACACGCACATCTCATTCAACGACGTTCTCTACGTACCAAATCTCGGCTTCAACTTACTCTCGGCAGGTCAACTCGGAGACTGTGGGGTGATGCTCGCCACCGACCCATACACGCGCGATCTCATCCTCACCTACGCTCCTCCAGACACCCCTCCCGAGTCACACAAATATCTCGGAAGAGCCCGCTCGATGGACGGCATCTACGTACTGGATTTCGATATACCCAGCTGCCAAGCCTCGTCGGACGAGCTCATTGACCTCGTACCTCTGGACTTCCCATTAATGAACAAGGAATCTTGGCAGCATCCAGACGGACGGTCGTGGATCCGCCGAATTCCTCATCCTCGCGAGGTTAACCTGCACCAAGTCGGCCCCATCGGACTCTGCACCACCTGCCATACACCCACAGCAAGCCGCACGAAAGAAGTGGAACGGGACCTCGCGGCAATTCAAGAAGCAGAAAGCACCGAAGAAGAGCCAGTAGGCATGACAGAAATGGAGCTCACCATCACTACCCATGGCATCTTCGGCACCGGTAACGAAGAATGAAAAAATCAACCAGAGGAACGCCCAACACCTCGCGCGGAGACACTACGCTTCATCCTCGAAGCCAACACCGGAACCTTTGATGAGGAAAATCGTCCGGGCACGTACACCCGCGATGTCTATCGCATCATTGACAAGAACTGGAAAGACCCTGATGAACCTGCGGAGCTGAGCGTGGACGAGGAAGAAGAGAAGACAATAGCTGAAAAGAAAGCAAAGCTATACGAGGAACGCATCGCGGCCGGATGGGATGAAGAAACGACAACGCGCGGTGCATGAGGAAACGACCATGGCGCTGGAGGAACAGCC